AGATTGCTAGGGAAAATTTGTTGGCAAGTGATGCGATTAGTCGTTAGCATATTGCTACAGTTTCCTGTAGTTTGCATGGAATATGCAACACGTTTTCACTCCCAAAGCGCAACATTTTGCGCCAGGTGACAACACGTCCCTATGTTACGAGATCGGAAAAATTAGGAAAAATGAGAACCGTTCTACGCATGTAATGTTTTTTTTACTTAAATTGCTTTGGAAAACACTATCTAACATCATTAAAGTGCTGGTTAAAGTTAGGGATAAGGTTATGGTTAGGGTTAGGGAATACATGGCTGGAATGTGTATTAGCACGGGAGCGTTATTCTACTGGATTTCATCCCTAACCCGGTGCATAGCATAAGAATGTGGAAGGTCACCTTTCGCGTTCCCCGGGAATGCCTCGGGACTTGACAAATCGTCAATATATTACGCCTCAGGAGTGAGAATGGGCTGGAAAATGTCTGCAAACATTTGCCAACTACATGCCAAACAGTAATTGGTAATTTTAACTTTGCAGGTGATTGGTCTTTAAGGGGTTTAGAGAGAGTGCCTGGTTACCTGGCCTTTGCCTGCTGGGCCTCGTCAGGCACATCCCAAATAACCAGCATGGACCTTCATAAAAAAAACTTGGGTGTGTGAGGAGTTTGTTAAGGCCCTGGAGCAGGACTTTTGGCTGCCCTCAAAGAAATTCTGGCAAGCCATCAGATGATTAGGGAGGAGAAAATCATCTGGTCACACTATGTGCAGCGGGGATGGAGCACTGCTGACTTCCACTGTGGATATAGTTGGGTGTTGGAAGGAATACTTGGATGATCTCCTCAACTGCTTCCATGGAGGAAGCACTCTAGGAATGTGGGGGGTACCTTATCCATCGCTAGGGGTGATGTCACTGAGATAGTTAAACAACTCTCATCCACCCAAGTAGAAGGGGCCCTGGGGTCAATGAGATTCGGCCTGAGTTCCTTAACCCTCTTGATGTTGTGGGGTTGTCTTGGTTGACCCATCCTTGCACAGAGATCTGGCACGATTCCTCTGGATTGGCAGACCATTGGATGGTTTGCCTTTTTAAGAAGGTGGAACAGAGAGTTTTAAAGGGGGATCACAATCCACAGCCTCCCTAGGAAGATCTGTACCGGAGTCCCGTAGAAGAGAGTCTATCCATTAGTTAAACCTCGGACTCAGGAGGAGCAATCTGGTTATTGTCCTATCCAGAATGCTGGATAAACTGTTTATCCCCTTGAGAATGTATGTGGGTGTGTTGGGGTGTTTTGAGAGTATGGGGTATCTTGTGGTGGGGTATATAGTAGGGGTATATTGCTACAGGCCATTCCCAGTTGCGTTGGTTTCCACCAAGGCTGCCTTTTGTCACCAGTTCTGTTCAAAAAATGTATGAAAAGGGGAATGAACGCCATTTTAACAGAGTAACCAAGTGATGGAAGGTTTGCACTTTCTCAGGATCTGGTTTCTGCTTTTTGCATTGATCTCTCAGGTGGGTTGAGAACACCTTGTTTGCCGGGAAAAGGAAGGTTACTAAAGGAACTGTTACCTCCATGACCCAGGCTTGAATAAGCAAAGGTGGATGGGTGGATGAACAGCCAGATTGTTATACTTCTGGTTGCAAAAAGACTTCTGGTGCTGTAGCAGTTATGGGAAACAGCCCATTTTATTCATCAAAAACAGCTATCATTGGCCTGCTTTACTGCTTCCAAACAATCTGCCTGACTTATAACTACACTTAATGTCAATCCCTCTCTATAAAACATTTTTCCCCTGGATAATTTTAGTGTGTATGGGTTTAGAAAAACAACACATCCCCAATACACTTGTCAGTACACCTACATGTTCTTTCCATATCTGTCACAAAGACAACACACTTTCTTTGCTTGATAGACAGAGGCAACAAAAACAGCCCAAATCTGAGTAATTTTGTTGTTTATAGATCGTTCAGTCTTGTCACCAGAATGCAACTGTCCCTCCTCTGTCAGTTTCATGGTAATTTTTTGCCTCTCTCATCTGTCCATCTGCCACAATGACTTCCTTCCTTCCGTTTGTTCTTCTAGAAAATGCAGATGGATGAGAATAATTATCTTGTTAAACCTCAAAATGTTCACAGTGTACTGTCCTGCCTAATGATGAAGATCCATTAAGCGGGGAAAGAAAAAGAAGTGCCATTCCAGGAACAAGTACTGGATATAAAATGTGTTTTAACAACTACAACTGCAAAAAAAAAAAAAAGATCAGGAAGAGTGCTACCCTCTTCCCCCTCCTCTTTCTCCTTCACTGTCGTACTGGAACGAGCCAACAAACTTTCTCTGTCCTCCCCCTCATCCGTCTCCCTCTCTTTGCTTTCCATCTCTTACTGTATACATTACTGAACCCACGCCTGTTCGCCTTCACTGCACGAGTCTTCGCTTACTGCTGTTCACGGTGTGCGTGTGAATGTGTGAATGTGTGTGTTCACATTGGGATTATCACCACCGTGGGTGGTACAATCTGCTGGTAGAAACTCAGTGAACCCTTCAGCCAGTACCCACTTTCATCATATTGCTCAAGTGTGCTAAGGCGCAGACATACATGCTTTGATTTATACTGTATGCACACACACGTGCAGGCACTCAATAATCTCCACTTCCCTCAACTTCTCCCTAAAACCATTCAGACTCCTCGATATTTGCATATGGGTCTTATGCGTGTGAGAGTGTGGCTGTGAGTGTTTGTGAGGTATATATTTGACGTGTGGGTGTCTGGCAGGATATGTGTCAATCTCAACTGCACGCCACAGCAGTTTTTTCCTTGAACTTTCTTGCCACATTGCCAGTGTGTCTTGCAAGTGGCACTGTGATATTTTGGCCCAACAGGTTGTACGGTTTCTCACAGGTTGGTAAAAATTTTTTGGTTGCGTTGCTTTTTTTTTTTCCAATACCATAAGCACATAACGGAAAATACTGTGAAAACCACATGTGAAACAATCACATCATAGGGCTGTCCTTTGAATGATCCCCTATTTAAAACTTCTTTTGGTAGGGTTTGTGTTTTTTCATTGCATAATTGTGCATGCAAGAGAGCAACATAGCATGCAAAAACATTTGACAAAACAGACCTCACATTTACATACCTGCCACTCTAACTGTAACTGAGACAAGGTGACTGAAACTTTGAAGAAGGGAAGGCAGAGCAGGGTAATGCACCCCCTGTTCTTGCTCCATTGATCTCTGCTAATTAGCTTGCAGTGATGGTGCATAGTGATAGCAGAATAAGAAGCAGTTTTCCATCAGACCACGTGCCCCTTGTCTAAAAGTCTAGATTTTTTATGCGTTTTCAAATTCAGATGGTATCAAATCTGGGAAGTTGTTGGTAGGGCTGGGTGGCTGGAAAATTGTATTTTAATTTAATTTGCAGTTTTGGTTTCCAGCGGTATTGGAATAAAACTAGTAATTCTAGGAAACTCGTGTTTTTTTCCCCTTGTGTTGTGAGTCAGTGCACCTCTTTCTTTTACTTGATTGCACTTTTGACCCTGCCGAAAGTTAGAATTCACTTGATGTTTAGCTCAGTTCCAGCCTAAAAGAGAGTCCTCAGCCAACAAGATGTGTTTAGAGGATGCAACACTCACAAGGTGCCTTCAGGTGAAGCTGTGCAAGGATTTTTAATGGTTTCCTTTGTCTACATCTCACTTTGCATCTCTTGCCCTGTTCGCTTGTCAGAGTAACAACTTTGCAGCTGGTTTTAGCTCACTCGCCCTGTGGTTTCCATGTTGGTCTCCTGAGGCACGCAAGTCCGCTGCAGCCTGGGCAACCTTCTGCTTCTGGCTTCACTTGCAGGCATTGTCTGGAGGATGGTCTTGTAAGATGTACCGTTTGGTCAAAGACGCAACCTAATCGGGGCTTAAATCCCTACCAGACTAACCTGTGTCCCCCATCTTCTCACTTCTTCATTTAAATAATTTTTCATTGGAATTATATCATATATATTTAAATGGTCTTACTGCTGCATGAAGTTCATGCATTTTAAAACTGATAGCGCCTGATTGTTATAAATTGCTGAGTCACACCACTTAAGAGTTATCTGAGCACAATGTAGCTTGCCATCGCCAGTGTGTGAATGTGTGTGTGAATGGGTGGATGACTGGATAAGTAAAGCGCTTTGGGGTCCTTAGGGACTAGTAAAGGCGCTATATAAATACAGGCCATTTACCATTTACCACATGAATCTACGGGCCTCATTCAGTGTGATTTTCCGCTTACTCAGGATATCTAACCAACATAGATAGCGCTGGGCGGTATAATCAGAAATATCTATCGCAGTTGTTTTCTCTCTGCGAGTCTAGCAGCTTCATATTTTGATAGATATTATTTTTGCATCAGGTTTGCAATGACTCATTGTTCTATCAGGAGTATATAAAAAACCCCATTTAATACTATCATTAAAAAAAAACAAAGCATAAATACAATACAATAAACAACCAAAACATTACATAAGCTACTCTTATTGACTCTGCTAACTAGCTGCCTTAGCTGCCTCGTAACATCCTTGCAAACACCAATTTCCTTAAACGTGCAATGATACTTTGAGAAAAATGACATGTTTTACATATTTGCATGTCTTTTGTTTAATGCTTTTCATAACTGCAATGCTTTGTATCTCTATCTATCTTATCTTATCTCTAAATGTTTTTATTCTGGGGGATTGTGATTTTTTTATGCGTGTTGTCCTTTATGGACCCCTGGAAAACTGTGTAGGATGAGTGAATGGTCCTGACACGTAAAAAAGTAGAGAAGCATTGTTAATAAATTATTATTTATTAAAGAATCATTTTCTTATTTTCAGGAAATATTTCAGTTTCATTTAGTATAAAAGGAATTAAGTTGACTCTTATGAGTACACTGCAGCATGAGCTGCTAATTTGGCATCGTTTAGTAAGAGTTTGTCTAATTTTTTTTTGTATTTGCCTTCTTTTTGTCTTTTTCTTATTTTATTCCTCATTACCTTTCTCTCTGCAGATTGACCTGGAACCAGAGGGGAAGGTGTATGTTGTTATTGACCTATCAGGATCTTCCAGTGAAGGTAAGAACTCAGTGAAACTGTTTTATGAAGCTCAGCGGGGTCTGTCATGTATGTAACACAGAGCGACTGCTCTCGGTCTCACTTATCTCTTGTTAAGAGCTGCTGTGTAACTATCGCAGGAGCTTTCAGTGTAAAGTGATGATGATGATGATGTATTTTGAGGCAAAAGCCTGTGTTTGTCAAGTCACTCTGACTCTCACAGCTGCTGCTACATTCACACCTTCTCCTCCTTGTATTGCAGAAAACCAGTGTTGCCACATTCAGATGTATTAAAACACCTTGCATGTGTGCAAAGTCCTTCTACATATTTGCAGCATGTTTTATAAACTTTAATAAATTATATCAAAAAATTCAAATAAGCTCATATAACAAATATTGAAGATAAATAGGATATTAATAACACTATCTTTAAGATGGGACAGAGTAATAGGATACATAAATATGCAATGACAGTTCAATCATTTGTTATTTTGCATTTTGTAATAACAACGCTAGTAGTGATATATTTGTGAAGTTAAATATGTAAGTACAATTCAAAGGTATGCCAGAGCTAAAATAAAAGCATAGACTACACCATTAAATGGTAAATGGCCTGTATTTGTATAGCGCTTTTACTAGTCCCGCCTAGGGACCCCAAAGTGCTTTACACACCCAGTCATCCACCCATTTACACACACATTCACACACTGGTGGAGGCAAGCTACAGTTGTAGCCACAGCTGCCCTGGGGCAGACTGACAGAAGCGCCATCGGCCCTTCTGGCCAACACCAGTAGGCGGCAGGTGAAGTGTCTTGCCCAAGGACACAACGACCGAGACTGTCCGAGCCGGGGCTCGAACCGGCAACCTTCCGATTACAATGCGAACTCCCAACTCCCAACTCTTGAGCCACGGTCTCTTATCATGCAGCTAGAAACAGTTAAAAAGTTAAAGTTTCTAACTGCAGGAGCTCAAGTATACCACTTTGGCCCTCCTTGTTGTGTTGTTAGGGTACATCCTTTGGACTTTCTGGTTGTATTGCATAGAGACAAACACATGTTATGTAGTTTTAAAATAAAATACTCGAATTGTAACATGCAGTGAATATAGTTAAAAACAACCTAACAATATTATTTTAAGTGCTAGCAAAGGCACAGTCAGAAGAAGGGAATGAGTGCATGTAAAGTGTAGAAGACAGCTTTGGCTTTGTCACTTAAAGAGATGCCCTAAGTATGCACAACTCAAAGCCTTCCTAAAATTTAAACTGTCATAAAAAAAGAAATTACAGTCCATATAGTTTTTCTGATAGAGGTAAAATAGGTCAAATAATGATGTGTAAAGTCTCCCAGAAACACAGAATGATGGCAAAATTGTAAAAACATCAGCAAAAAGCTGCTATTTTTTATTTCATTTTTTAAAATGGTCGTTAAACAAAAAAGTTTGAACCTCTTGATTTATAAAAGTCCATCAGATTAAGGAAAAAAATATCTAATATAAAAAAACCCAGAACAGTCTGCACAGCCTTTGTTAAATGACTGCACTCATACTGATCGTCATTATAGTTTCACATCCTTTCTCCAATCATCTTAATGTGCAGTTTTTGAGCTTTTAGTGGGTATTAAGTGAAAGGAAAGTGAAAGCAATAATGTAAGCATAGTGCTCCATTTGTATTAAGAGAACGTAGGTTTTTGCTCTATAATGCAGCATACACTTTAAAAATGACAATTATTTGGAATTAGGAATAGAGGAACAAAGAGAATGTAAAAACAATGTTGGTGTTAGATGAACCAACAGATATGTGTGTTTAGTTCTAAGTTACTTCTCTTTTTTGTTTTTGTTACTCAGTGAGAACGTGAAGTCAGGAGTGAGTCACCCTGTCACTGCACAGAATTTGCAGCATTACATTAGGAAATAGATGTGTCAGATTCCCTATGTGTTTCTATGACAATGATATTGTGCAGCCAGCGCTCTTCTTCGATATAAGTTAAATGATGCAATCAGAGTTTGACTGTAAACTCAGAGATCACCTCATCATTTAAGATATGAGACACAGTGCTTCGAGAGAGCCTCGAGCTGTAATCTTGTACTCCTACGTGTTGCTGTATGTTTCACTGCAAAACAAAGATGTAACAGTGTAGTTGAGAAGGAGTGCAGATGCTGATGTGATATACAGAACTAGTACTTACACTTGCAACAAGACTATAATCGTTGATGCTTTGACTAAATGCTGAGGCCCATAGACTGCATGTAAAAGATGGACATAAGGTTCAAGATATATAAAAATGAAGAACTGATATGTCAAATATTCGCACATGACAAAATAATCAGCCCAGCCCATTTAGGGCAGCAGAATCACTTTCCAATTTATCGTGGTTCTCTTCCCTTTCAGTAACCATTACTCTGCAACCACACTATGCCTGACTAAAGTAAGCTGACAACCACTAACCGGTTCACTTTTCTGTTGCTGCAGCAACTTCTCACTTGTGGAGCGAGGTACTTCCCGCAGCAAACCTGCTTCCTTAGTCATATACAAAAGTATAGTTAGGCTGTTGTTACAGTGTTGAGTGAAGCATTGGAGACGGGCAAGCTGTTGATGAATTAATACTTAGTTTAATTATTGATTTATTGTCTTCTCTTGCAGTGATTTTTCTTCTCCATTTTGAGTAGTGTAAGCTAACCATAGCACTGCAACTGTGTGGCTCTACACTGAGCTTTGATTTACAGGTGTGACTTCAGTTTGTGCATGGCCTGACTGAGTTACTGCAGTATAAAAACTGAGCATTGCATATCTGATGTTTGCTTCAGCTAAGTAAATAAAATGAAGCTGAGGATGATTTTGACCGATCGCATCCATTTTTCAGATTTTCAATCAATTTTGCAATATTATTGTTTTTGTGAATTATATTTGCTATCATGCAATGAAAATCTGAAATTATTACACCACCGGATGGATGTAGCCACGGTGACATCCTTTACAGCTTTGTGCATTAATTTGTTTCGAAATGCCAGTTCTGCCAGTTTGGGTGATTTGTAGCAATACCTGAATATCTTGATGCATTCTCAATCATCCAGGAAAGTAAATCTCCAAAAGTTGATTCTGTTCATCTGGACGTAGCGTTTTGTGGGAGAAACGTTTCATCACTCATCCAAGTGACTTCTTCAGTCTCGGACTTCAGACCCTAACCCATCAGCAAATTTGCTGATGACACCACCATCCTAGGACTGATCGAGAACAACAATGTTTCAGCTACAGAGAGGAGGTTCAGCATCTGAAGCAATGGTGTGAAAACAACAACCTGCATCTGAACACAGCCAAGACCAAGGAGATGGTAACCGACTTCAGGAGAACAAGGCGATCTGAGCACTCTACCCTCTACATTGATGGGGAGGAGGTAGAAAGGGTAGAAAGGAATTAAGTTCCTCGAAGTCCACATCTCGGCCGACCTTACCTGGTCCACAAACATTTCCCACCAGGTAGGGAAAGCACAACAAATGCTGTACTTACTCAGGAAACTGCGTCATGCCCAGTTACCCCAGAGACTGCTAGTGAACTTCTACCGTTCCACCATCGAGACCCTTCTGACTTACTGCTGCACACTCAGGTTCAACTGCTGTACTGTGGACAACAAGAGGAAAGTGCAGCGGGTGGTGAGGGCAGCAGAGTGGGCAATTGGCACCTCACTAATCCCCCTCGGAGACATTTAAACTGGCAGACTTCAGCAGAAAGTCAATATCATCATCAAAGACCCCTCGCACCCTGGACACTAACCGTGTATTTCACACACATGGAGAGATGCCAAACTGCCTTTCATTGTTCTTGCAACAGTGACGATAAAGAGCTATTCTATTCTATTCTATTGTTGTGGAGATGTAACTACTGAGTGATATGCGCACGCAAATTAGCAAAATACAGTGATATTGCAAATCATTTTTTTTGTAGAAAATTTTATTTTGAAATTTCTCTTCATACTTGTGGAGCTTTTCAATTGGGCCTCCTATTAACAGAATGTTGAACCAGAGGTGAAAAGTTAACATTGGTACATCTAATCTGTAACTAATTGCATTTTTACGGTATGTTGGAGAGACTGTGAGAGAGAAGGCAGAAAGGGAGTTATCCAGAGGTCGCGAGAGGAGAAATGGAGTGGTTGTGGGGTGATAAATTGATTAGTAAAGTGGAGTGTTCGCTAATGGACCAGTTACATCATTGAAAGTGATTGAGAGGGAGATCAGTAGAGAGTGACAAAGAGGTCTCATTAGGTTTTTCTGCAGGAAATATTAATTTTCCTTTTCCCTCTGTGTTTCGTAAATGGACTCTAAAGCTATATTGCCTGCTGGGACTCTGCTCCTTGTTGTTTCTCTGCAGTGGCATACAGTAAGTTTATGTGCCTGTGTGTTTGTGATCTACTGCAATTGCAGTCATGATGCTTAAGATGCACATGCTCAACACAGACTTGTCGGCACACGGGATACCGTATACTGATAGTAGTGGGTCACCTCACTTTTGTGTTGACTAAATATTAACATTAATATGAAACAGAACAAGAAACAATAACAACAGCAAAAAAAATAAAATAAAATTACAAGTAAACACTGACTATGGCCTCCTCCAGGACACACAACAATTTAGTGAGTTCTTTATTGATAATTTATTGATAAAAAATCGTATTAACCAAATACATGCAACATAAACTAACCAACCAAATACTTTGTTCGGTATACCTGTTCAGCTGCTTATATGGCAGAAACCAGCACATTTATGCATGGGAATATGGTCAAACAGCCTGCTGTTCAAAGTTCAAACTGAGCATCAGAATAGAAATAGGTTAATAGAGTAGGGGCTCAAAATAAAGCCACACACAAAAAAAGCACACAATAAAAAAAAGAAAGGTGATATAGTGACTTTGAACGTGGCATAATCATTGGTGCCAGATGGGCTGGTCTCAGTATTTCAGAGAAAGCTAATTTACTCTGATTTTCTTGCACAACTTTCAGTAGGGTTTATAGAAAATAGTCCAAAAATAGAGGAAAATGCCCAGTGAGCAGCTGTTCTCCGAGTGAAAATACCTTTCTGATGGCAGACGCCAGACGAGAACTGGCAGACTTCTTTGAGTTGATGGAAGCTAATAGTAACTCAAATAACCACTCATTACAGTCAAGGTATGCAGGTGAGCATGCACCTCTGAAGGTAAAACTCATCAAACCTTGAAACAGATGGGCAACAACAGCAGCAGAAGACCACACCGGGTACCAATCCTGTCAGCTAGGAACAGGAAAGCGAGGCTGCAATTTGCACATGCTCACCAAAACCAAAAAAGGAAGATTAGATTGCCTGGCCTGAGGAGTCTGAGCTTCACATCATGGATGTGGAGCCAAAACATTTCCAGTATATCATGCCAGTATGGTAAATGGTAAATGGCCTGTATTTGTATAGCGCTTTACTAGTCCCTAAGGACCCCAAAGCGCTTTACACATCCAGTCATCCACCCATTCACACACTGGTGATGGCAGCTACATTGTAGCCACAGCCACCCTGGGGCGCACTGACAGAGGCGAGGCTGCCGGACACTGGCGCCACCGGGCCCTCTGGACTAAAATCCTTGCAACAATAAATATCTACATTTTAGATAAACATAACTTAGCTTTGCAGTTATGTTTACCTCCTTCACTCACCCAGGATGTAATGTGATTACTTGGTTTGTCTGACTATTCATTTGCCAAATTACTTGAAACACTGTGGATGCATTTGCATGAAAATGCAAGCAAGCTTGGCGCTGCCGAGCATAAAAGTGTTGAACATCAACACTGAGCTGAAGAACACCAGGCCAGTGTTCTTCAGACAATGTTACAAATGAATCTGCATCCAGATATCCTTCAGGATTCAGAGATTTAATTCATTCATGGCAGGGAGATGATGTTCAGATTTATTCACAAAATTCTTCAGGCATTTAATCTTCAAGGTAACATTTGATACTAGTGTGCTGCATCTCAACAAATATCAGAGACTATCTGTCAATATGTTCCTGACTTTGAAAGCCAAAAAAGGTAAAAGAGCTCGGAGTACGATGCAAGCATTGGCCTACTTAAGTCTAACTTTTGGGGTCATAAGGACATGACAGAGGAGCAACCTTTCTACCGCTGCCAACCTCCAACCCTGACTCCTTCCCTAGTGTAAGACACCAAGTCTAACACTGTTGCCAGGCAGCAGTCATCAGTTGCTAGGCGATGCTGATGGCAAAGGGGCTGAAGGAGTAAGACTGATGACAAGCAGAACATGACAGGCAGGAAGGAATGTAGACTAAGTCTTTGAGGCTTAGAGAGTAGTGCTGCTGGAGATGTAAAGTTTGACAAGGTGGTGATACCAGAGGAAAGTTCAGTTAGTACATCACCACAATCACTAGGGTTCACTCTGAGAAAACACAGCACAACTCAAGCTAAGTTACACAAACCGGCCAAATTTGAATGGGAAATACTGCACGTGAGTTTAACCACAGGTCCTAAATTGTTCTGTACTTACTTCAGATTGTGATTTGCAATTCTCCCCCAGCTAAAGCATTGTTGTCTATGTCTTTATTTCAGTAGCTTTCTTTCTCACTTTCTCTGTTCTTTTAGTGTCTTCCGTCAGCTACCACCGCATAGCAGCAAAATGTGAAATACTCACCCAAAAAAATCCATCTCTTCATGTTTGTGGATACTAATTGTCTCCTTTTTTTTAACATCATGACTTTGAAATTGATGTATTTCACTTGTCCAGACTTTTCGACCCTCTGACCTCCAAGAAAAAAGCTCTAAAAGACATGACAACTGTTGTATTTGACCTTAACTGTGATTGTAGTAGTTTAAATGGTGATTAATCGCACATTATAAGCTAACACTGTGTTAAAACAGGCATGCGCATGTCCAGTCATATCCAGAAATACTGGTCGGTTAAACATATTATTCTTATAGTATTAATCTACAACAACAGTTACCCGTTTGAAGATGTCATCATCCCACTTCCTACTACCTTCTCTCCCACTCTATCTTAATGGAAGTCATAATCGAGCACAGGTGGAAAGTAAACCGATTATGACCGCACTAACCAGCATTATACTGGTCAGAATGGTTACATATGGTTACGCAGGAAACTGTGCATTTACAATCTGCTCAGTTTTAAGTGTCTTCTGTCTTTTAGACCACTCGAATATTCTTAGTGTTTTCTCTGTCACCTAAAGAACTATCAGATTAGTCCAGGAACTCCCCTAATTTGAAGAAATAGAAATAAGTGTAACGATCTGTCACATGTTTGGCTCTAGTATTTGGAGAGAGAGGCAAAATGCTTCACTGCCAATCTCTCAAACCCCCAAATACATGAGCAAACATGCGATATACATGAACAAGAATCATTAAGCGTAATAGCATTCAGCAGGTTCCATGTAAGTTGATGTAGACGTGTCTTTTTTTAGATAGCAAACCAAGTTTTCATGCATTCAAGTTCATGTATTTGCGGGAGCATTGGGAACTCATATTCCTCCAGAGGGAGGGAGATAAAGTGCTGCAGGTGTTTCCAGTGGAAAAAAAAGTTGAGAACAAAGCGCAGAACAGAACAAGCATCAGTGACAGCAGATATGACGCTGATGTAGTCAGAGCATTAAATGGAAAGAGGGAGATGTGGTGGGGTTGGGATGCAGAGCAGCTTGCAGATGGGCATGCTGCAGTAGCTTAAGTAGCTTTCCCTATTTGAGATTGTCCAGTTGGGTGTGTTGAAGGATATCAGCTGAGCCTGGGCTGTCACTGGCAGCAGCTGCTCTGTCAGGGTCCCAGATGAGCTTTGCTCTTTGCTTTACTTTCCTACACGATGAGCGTTGTTGAATGCTGAATAATGTAAGATCAAAGAGAGAGGATGTTTGGAGTTCTCAAGCCACGGCTGTTGAGGAAACTGGAAATGCATACTCGACGGCACATGTGGCCGACAGAGTCAGAAGACAGATGTTCGCGCAGCGTCGGTCATATCAAAAATGCAAATCAGTTATATCACAGGACTGAATTATTCAATTGTTCTTTTTTTAAACATTCTCAGTGAGCGGAGAGTTTGAGTCGTCTCCAAAATATACACACTGTCAGGTGGAATGTAACACACAGTACTCGGAGTTTAGTTGTGAGTGATAATGCTTGTAGTCGGGGGGGGGGGAAGTCCACATGGAGTTCTTCTATCCAAATGGCACAATCTGATAGATCTGGGTGTATTAACACATCAAATTGAACAATTTGGTCTATTTAATAAATACAAATAACCTCATTTCTATTTTTTTTTTATTTCTCACCACCTCTATCCTATGAAATGTGTGTGTAATTAACAAGATCAGGCAGTAACTGAAACCTCTGCACTGCCATTGGGAAACCCCTGAGTAATTAAACCAGAAGAAAAGCAGAGGTCACAAACACTGGGACTTGGTTTAAGGAAAAAGGACTAATGCGTTGATTGTCACCAAAGGGACACACTGCCAGCCCTGTAGTGTCATTGCCATCTACTGGCTACTTGTTGGAAATGCAGTTTTTATTTATCATCAATCGTGCAGGTGTTGCTCATTTATAGGAGATGCCAGCATGAGTAACCAAGATTATAAAGCACTGACTATCAAAAAGCGGAATGAATGGAGCTTATTCACATTAGTTTGGCTTACTGAAGAGACTGGAAATAAAACCATAACTGTAACACAACATAACATCCTTCTTGTATTTTTGTTGTGTTTTCGTACAGCAGCGGCAGGCTCTACCGAAAATGAGGAGCGTGTGTTTCGACAGCGGATGCGTCCCAGGAAGCGTCAAGGTGCCGTCCGTCGGAGAGTCCACCAAGTCAACGGACACAAGTTCATGGCCACCTACCTGAGACAGCCCACGTACTGCTCACACTGCAGGGACTTTATCTGGTTAGAAGCACATGCACGCTCATGTCTATAGAGTGATTAATATGCACACAGTCGTTACAGGTCGGCAGAAAGAAACCTGTAAATAAAGAAAGAAAAATAATCAACAAACTGTAGATGAGAGTGTGTCTGCATTGAAGACAGGACGGGAATGTGGCAGCAGTGCAGAGAGATGAAAGCAAGGCTCACTTGTGTGATTTGCGAGTCCTTCTATCAAAGATTAATGAATCCAGAGTCTCTCACTGAAAATGCCAAGGGTGGTTCAGAGTGAACATATGAAGTGTTGATAGGTTAATAAAGAAAAAGTTTCTTAACTGACCAGCTGTATGTAAACATCAGTTTTACAATAGCTGCCTTTCACTGATGTGTGTTCACTGCTTCACTTCCTTAACCCAATTTTCTCCCAGTAATAACCTGCTCTCTTGTTTACACGTAAGCACAGTGGATGCTGTGAAGTGGGGAGTAACAAACAAAGCCAGCTGTGTTTGTTTCCATCCCAACAAACGGCTGTTAGCTTCACTCACATGGAAACCATGTGGCCTCGGTGCTCCGCTCGCTTTCAGCCGGCTCTGAAAGAACGTTTGATGTGTAATCAGAATCACAAGGGAGCTGTGTTTCAGTCTCCGAGTGGTCAGGGTCTGTGATGTGGTGAATCAGCAAAAAAACTGCAAGGAGTCTGTTTAATTTTTGTGTAAGCTCACTGTTATATCCTGAAATAATCTCTGAAAAATACACCCTTTCAGTGGGTTTGAGAACAGCGCCACTTTTCGTTTCTTGGCCGTGTATAAATGTGTCGGAAACCAGCATAGACTGCATCATTTTGCAGAGGCTGAAGAATCCACTGAATATTGCCGAAGAATAATACTAGACTCCCATCATCCTCCTGGTAGAATTTTAGAAGGAGGAAAACTTCCAACCTCTACCTTCCCTTATGTGTGCAACAAAAAGCCAAAGGAGAAAGAGAAGATGCTGCAGAATTTGCATGATGTTAAACACAAAAAGGCTTTTTCCACAAACTGGCTTACAGCTGCGCTTCTTTCTCTTTTATTAAGTGAAACACATTTGCTTTAAATTGGAAGTAAGGACACACGGTTTTAGAAAAACAACCACAACAACTGGTTAATGACGTAACTGAGAAAGAACTCCCTTTTAAATGGGAGACACTTCCAGTCGAACCAGCCTCAGGTTTAAGCGCCTGCTGTAGTTAGTTAAGCAGGAAAAAGATAAGTGGCAACAAACAGGACAAAACCCAAACTTTGGAACAGAGTAGACAAATCAAAAAAAAGTATTTGCATTGAGCAAATAATTGCACATTTGCATTGAGCAAATACAATAAGTCCTCATCATTCAGGACTTTATCTGTGAAAGACTGATTATAAATTCAAAGTAAAGAGAAGTTAATACAGGTGAAAGATAAGCCGTTTTTCTAGGCCCTGGTAGAAGCTGATGTAACAAATTAATGGACTAGTTTATAATCATTCAGACCTTGATGTTCACTCATAACCTTTGTGGGGCTTGCAATAAAGCTTGACCTTCAAAATCAAAGTACTGCAACAATCAGATATTCTATTTTCTATTAAATACAGCTTAAATAATCTTCTAAAATTGTGACATAAACTTTGAAAAAGGGAATCAAAGTTTCTAAATTATGTAAAAAATATGAAGACAGCAGTCCACAACACTTTTTTTTTAAACATTTCTCTTATCTCTGTCTGATTGTAGGGGGGTTTTAGGAAAGCAGGGCTATCAGTGTCAAGGTAAGACAATATTTACCTTTACAAGTGGCTGCACTTTAATCACACGTAAAACCTGTTAATGCGTGCGTTGTATGTGTGTACCTGCTGCAGTGTGCACCTGTGTTGTCCACAAGCGCTGCCATGAGCTGATCATTACCAAATGTGCCGGCATGAAGAAGCAGGATGACATGGTCGGGGAGGTACGGATGTGAAACACTTTGACAACCTACGCACGGATTCTTAGAAAGTTCAGGGACCACTCTAACATTAGATCCTTGCAGGTTTGTCTTACTGTCCTTTGGTGCATCCTACAGGTGGGGTCTCAGAGATTCAGCGTTAATGTCCCGCACAAGTTCAGCATCCACAACTTTAAAGTTCTCACCTTCTGTGACCACTGTGGGTCTCTGCTGTGGGGTCTGATGCGACAGGGACTCCAGTGTAAAGGTACAAGTGAGCACGTGACATTCTTTAGTTAATACAACTGTAAGCAAATTAAAGATGTCTGTATATTATCGTTCGGATAAACTCTTTCTAGAATCTGTTCTGAAACTGTTCTTACTCTTCTTGCTTTGTTTCCCAGTTTGTAAGGTGAACGTACACAGACGCTGTGAGAGCAACGTAGCTCCAAACTGTGGCGTTGATGCCAGAGGGATCGCTAAAGTCCTGTCTGACCTCGGAGTCACTCCAGACAAGATCTCTAACAGCGCCCAGAGACGGAAAAAGGTTTGGAAATATGCCAGAGTGTTCTCAAGAGGCTTTAGAGTTATTCTAAATTTTATATTTAATGGTATTTAAAGAAGGTGTTTCTGAATAAACAGTGGAAACTAATTGAGGGGCGTACCCACTGGGGATGTGTCCTTCAAAAACCATGTACTATAAAGATGGATCTACGCACTATGGTGTCAACCGCTGCTGTGTGAAGTCCTGTTATGAAGCCTTGAGATGAGCGTTTTTGCTGTCGCCTGCATGTGGTGTTAACATACCGACCGTGAATCATAAGTTCTTGATGAAAATGTTGATGGGGACATGTTTTCTGTGAACAGCTTACTCAGGCTCAGGATCCTCAGCAGCCGTTATCAGGGATCCCTCAGATAGAAGACGATCGCTCGAAGTCTGCCCCCACCTCCCCGTGTGATCAGGGTAGGCACATTTTCTGACTATTAAACTCTGAAGAGCAAACAGAATGGAGACACACAGCACAGCTCTTATTTTTCTTGGTTTCTTGCAGACGTGAAGGAGCTGGAGAACATCCGGAAGGCTCTGTCATTTGACCACCGCGGAGAGGAGCACAAAACACACCCACTGTCTTCCTCCTCGTCTGTGGACACGGTAACGTGTGACACGCACACAGGAGGTGATGGGAACAGCGTCGGAGAGGAAAGCGAAGAAAGTCAGGCGAATGGCGAGGTCAAAGGTCACAGCGCTCCAGAGGCCAAGAGGATGAACCTGCATGACTTTGTGTTTATCAAAGTTCTGGGGAAAGGAAGCTTTGGAAAGGTGGGCTCACTTCCTCTGCAGCTCTGTTTGTGAAATTCAGTAAGATGTGCAGTGAAAAGGATGGACCAGAAAACACAAACGAGTTTGTGTCATGTGACCAGGTGATGCTGGCGGAGATGAAGGGCACAGACGAGGTTTATGCCGTCAAGGTGCTGAAGAAAGACGTGATCCTGCAGGATGACGACGTGGACTGCACCATGACTGAGAAACGGATCTTAGCATTGGCCAGGAGACACCCCTATCTGACACAGCTCTTCTGCTGCTTCCAGACTAAAGTAGGGACCCCCCACACACACACACAAACACACACACACATACGCACACAAACATGCAGACATTATTTGCACCTCCAGGGGGCAGCATTGGAATTAGAATCTGTACCGTCGTACATCGAAGCTGACAAGCTCTCTTGGAGAAAACATTTGCAGTTTGTTTCTTGATGAAAACTTCAAAAGTACAACAGATTAAAAAGAATGAAAATAGAAAAATTTAAAAAAAGAGGGAAACTCTCACCCGACAAGTTTTAACATCACAGGAAAAACGGAATCAAACTGCAGGCTGTTCTCGAGCTTTTTCTCTGCTGTTTTTCTTTTGAACATCTTTAATCCAAATCTTTGATCATTTGTTTCTGCTGCATCTTGAATTTGAAGAAATAAGATAAAAATAACTTACATGTTCAGGATAAAAGATTTTACTGCTCTTCTAAGTTTGATTATTTAGTCTTATTAGATTATTAGTAAAGGGGATAAAAGGTAATTTAAAACCTGAGAAAAACCGTTAGGCAGTCTTCTGTTAATTCTTTTGTAATTTCCTTTTGTTTTCTTCCCCTCTCCTTAATAGAAAAACGATTGTTGGGTTAAACTGCGTACATCTTGTGTTCACACGTGCACTGCAGCAGTGAACCTTTGTGCTTGGCAGGGGATTATGTTGGATAGAACATTAGCTGATATTTAACCTGCCTTATTCCTAGAACAAAGCCTGAGTGATGTTGGCTTGCTCAGAGGTAAAAATGGTGCTGCTAATAGTCTGGTGCATTTACCACTGGGAGGTACGTGCCTCCTTCACACTCAGGCTCCTCGCCTTAGGCCTCCTGGCTAAACCACGTGGAGTGTTTCCACCAGTGCAAATGAAGTGAGGTGTGATCAAAATGTTTCAATGATGGTTCTCCAAACGTCAAAACCCTTACCTGCTGTAAAGACAGTAGGTAGCTGAAGTTCCATTCAAGCACGCCACCTTGGCCCTTGGACTTGTTACGCTGTGACGTCTGCTGGATTCACTTCAGTGTCAAATGAGCAAACCTTAAATTTGATTTTCAGAAAGTGGACAAAGTCACAGGGATGCATATCTGGGTGAGAGGTCAAAGGCGAATGTGGGTTGCATAATCATTGTGCCCTGTGCTGACACAAGATGGCACTGTGACATGCTGTCAAATGTTCTCCCTCAGGATGCTGCAGTAACACCCCAACAACTTAACCTGGGGTACACATTCTTAGTGCACAATCCTGTAAAAGTTAAAAAAAAAAAATCCTCAATCCTCCCTTACAGTGTGGTAGGTCTAGCAAAATGATGAAAAATTTTCAGTTGTAGTGGGACGCACAGTTCTCATAACCAGCAGCGATTTTCCACATGAAAGTCTTGTCTGTTTGAAAACGACATCGATGCTAGCAAGTTTAAGGTCCACAGAGATATCACAGGTGCCAGACCAGGACCTCCGGAGCGTGATCCAAAAATCGCTTCATTGTTGGAAGCTGCCTGAACATCTCTGAGAAGATGATTTTGAATGAGAGGTGGCTCAAATTTAGGATTTAAGTGACTTTGTGGAGAAAATATCCCAACTTGATCCTCTCAGACTTCGAAGTTCATGTGTGAAAACGGCCTAAGGCCATTACCTGTCCACCCCTTGACCTAGTTGTATTTTAGGTTCATTATTTAGGGTTAAATAGGCCCTAAAGGAGGACGTGTTAACAGCTAAGCATGCCGTGTAGGTTTGTAAACACATCCAGAGCAGTAATAGACTGAGAGAACTATAGCAAGACAGTCAACCTATACAAGAACTATAATAAGAGAACTGCTCTGTATTCACTTCTCAGAACACATCACAACTTCTCGTTATGTTTTGGATCAAATCGTCTTCAGCTGTCATATTTTATATCTGCTGAATGCAACATTTTATGAACTGTGCTGTTAAACAGGCAGCTAAGAAAGACTTTTAAGAAAATATTTCAAGCAGCTTTAACACTAAAGCAGCGAAGCACCAGTCTTCAGTCTTCTTGCTCTGTCATTCACAGGTTACTCTGCTTTCATCATCTCCACTTTTAGCGTCTTTATCCATCAATACTTTAAGTTGGCTGTGACAGACAGACACACAAAGGGCAGCTGTGGGTGGGACGCCCCTACATGGGCAGTCCTTTCAGACCTCTGTATGTTTTGTCTATTGTGCGTTACATAAATGTTCCTGTCGGGAACCATATAGTGGCTTTGTACATGCACATGTGTGAGAGCGTGTGTATTTATGATAAAGCTACTTCCAGGTGTGTCCTTTCTAAAATGCAGAAGAGAGCAGGACACATAATCCGCTGAGGTGCAAACTTCTTTCTGATCAGCTTGAACCTGAAGAGGTTCAGGTGCTTTACACAAGCTGCACACACAGTCAGCGAGGTAAAACTGACTGAAAGTTGGAGAGGTTTTGTTATTTAAAAGAAAAAAAGCTGAAACCTTTATTTTTTTATTACAAATACAGCATCTCTTCAGCTCTTTCCTGAAATAGCTAAAACCACTCATCAGTGTCAATGTGCCTTCATGTGTGCACTTTCACAGCCTGGTGGAGCTGAGTACGAGAATGCAAATGTTCTGCTGGATTTATAAATTCTTTGCCATCCCTCTTTACTGCGAATTACAATTTAATATCTAATCATGCCCATGTGTGAAAAGCCGAGGCAGCTGTCCAGTGAATTTACACTGAGTGAGTGAACGCCATGTGTTCTGCCTCCTGCACGCTCTACCAGACCATTTAAAGTTAACACCAAGGGTGTCAAAGTCATTGTAGTTGGCTCAATTTGACCTCAAATGGTCTAGACCAACCATTGTTCACCTTTAATGAACCATCGTTTTACCAAACAGATGAAAGATAAACACTACTTTAAAAATCTCTATTTTTCTACTCTGAAAAAGTGCCAATACATGCACATTAAAATTTATGGATCACAGTACATCTACAAAAGTTGCTGTGCTGCTTATTTATGACCCATGCAACTTCACATTTGGAAGTTGTTTTTTTTTAATGTGCATGTATTTTCACTGCTATTTAGCAACACTAGTGACCCCACATCAATACTACCAGCCCACTTAGTTATAAAATTGGAGTTATTAATGACTTTTCTGCTTTTATTCACACTTTTCAAAAAGCCATCCAGTGCACTTTTGTTCTTAGGTCCGCATGTTTGACGTTGCTGGTTCAGACCCTTGTTTGAAACAAACAGAGTCTTTTGAGTAGTGAGGATGCATCTGATGCAGAGAATTTCCCATCATGTCCAACATGTGAGAAAAGACAGCCTGCTGACTCTGTCCCATCCCAGTTCTTCCACCAGCATCCAGAGTTCAGCCTGGTCACACAGGAGCCGTAAAAGCGTAAAAGCCTATGATGCATATCTCTCACACTTTGGTGTCTGGTGTGATCGGCAAAATAATTTGATCCATTACTGACCTTTGTGTCTTAAAAGTGAAAAATAGCCATTTCGTGTTCATGTAGATAGACAGGAATCGGTTGTATGAGATAACACTTCAGTCGTTAAAACAGTCTTTAAAAAAGTTACACTATATATTCACTACATGCACTGTACACTATAGGTCTGCTGTAAATGAGGCATTTATTTTAGAAGACTTGCTGTGCAGTTCTTACAGGTACTAACAAAGCCTACTTCTGAGAATTCAGCTTATGTTCCAGGAAATGATGTTTTGACAGGAAATGGAATATACACATACTGCATATGTGTGTTGTCTGTATAGCTCTGGTCACAAGTTCACAGACACTTGTCACGGCCATAGATGTCATGGTAATTTTAGGCTTTCTATGATTTTTTTGGGGGTATGCAATTTTTGCAGGGTGGAATGATTCTATAGCATTTAACTTTTATGGTTTTATAAAACAATCGGGTGCACAACTTTGATAATATTTAGAATTTTCTCTAATCCACACAGGGTCAAAATGATATACATTATATACATTATACACATAATTCACACTAATGGTCAGATTCTACTGCATGTGAGTTTTTCTCAGTTTGTTATATTTCATATTTCAATCATACCACACCACTGAACTTTACTTATGTGGAATCCTCAGTTTATAGAAGGTTGTGCCTATGACATAGACTGTTGTCAGTTCAGCAGGTAGCTTCCTATCTGCAAAAGTGGATGTATAAATAATAAATGCATGGATTTATTCTCTTGCTCTACATTGTTTTAGGGATTGGTTTGCTGAAATAGTTTCCTTATCTTCACGTGGTATCGTTTTTCTTCCATTCTTTCTGTCATCATCTCTGAAGAGATCTGGAAAGAATCAACATTTTTCAGAGTTTCAGTTAAGTTTCCACTCTAGAATTGAAACCAACCATCTTTAAGTTTTGTGATCTGGTCCAGCTGTCGTCATTGGACCGAAGTTCAGGGGAGGTTTCGTGCCTCAAAGTTAGGTTAACATCAAAGTAAAAAGTCAGAAGTGTGAAAGAATCCTTAACCTGCTCATTTAAAGCAACATGACCTCACTTTTGGGAATAACTTTCTTTGATAAAACAGCGCTTCTTTGTTCTTTTCCTTTTCTGTGTCAACAGACCATCAATTGAGTAGCTTCTCAAGGTGTGTTTGCTGCTGCCAGTGATCCATATAATACTATTTTTAAGACATTTCAGGGGGCTGCATGACCTTTTTTTAATGTTTTGAAAGGGGGAGTGTCACCATAATCACCTTCTTTATATTTAAAAATCTAGAAGAAGTAGACAATTAAAAAAATGTTTGAAAGGAAGAGAATTATGACACACCGGTAAAGAGATTATTTCACCTGCTTCTGCTTCTACTTCTCATGTTTGAACATACATTGCAACATATGCAGTGAAAAATTTGGAATTCTACAGGGGACCAGTGGGAGCCAGATATGTCAGGGAGGAGGCATAGAAGATATTTTGCAAGCTGCATCTGTATTTATTTTCTCTGAATGCTCTGGAAAGTCTTACACTAATTGATGGTGTTTCCTGTTCAATTTATTTATTCCTGTTATTTTCCT